GAATTAGCTCTATTCTCTGCCCTGCATAAACCTCCAGTGCAATGTTCTTTGTAGAGTTGGTGCATATCTGCTTGTGAATCTATTCTGACTTCCCTGATTTGGCCCACAATCATCCAAGCTACCTATTTCTCACGGTGGTTACTTTGAGGTAATTCTTTGTCAGGTGGCTTGCTAATCTTCATACAGTACTCACCATGCCTGGAATCTTGCTTTCAATACAAATATACTGCTTTTCAGTCTTACAGTTGTTTCTCTTCCAGTTGTGGTTGAACAAAGCCAAATTTCTTGCACGCTTGTTGTATTGTTACTGTAGTGAATTAACCAGTTATGACTACATTTATGTTAAAGTACAGTTCAGATGATCATGACCTGCAGTATAGTTTATACTTATGGAATATGATAATATGTATAGTGCGTGTTATATAGAAATATTTTTTATTATGCAATACTTGCCTGTAATTTCAAAATGTATACATACTCCTCTAGTATTGGAACAAATCATACATACGTCAACTTGTTAGTGGGGAGTTTTTTTTCTCAATCTTGATCACCAGAGAATTATTTTTTTATATTCAGCTTATGAGGAGGAACAGAAGATATTTACGGATGCAAGAGTGGAAACTGTTACCAAGTTGTATCTCAATAGAGAACGTCAAGCAGGCCTTGCACATTTTAATTTGATGACGACTAGATGGCCTTCAACATTCGAAACAAAACTGTTCACTGAAAGGTTTCTTCAAAGCAAAACCGCTGATATTAAAACATTGCAACCTCAATTTGATGACGATGAAGTTGCCTCAACATCAACATACACACAGGTATTTTCCCATCATTTTACTTTCAACTGATTGTGCAAAACCACATTAGAGACACTTTTCATTATCCCCTGTTGATACACAATGCGACTAATGGACTGACCTCTATGCGTTCACCATCCATGTATGTCTGCTGCAAACATTTTGCATACATCATCGAAGTTGTCTCAATGTCAACAGACACTCGGGTAATATTCAACCATTTGACTTTTAAATGAATTCGCTAACCTGCATTAAGGACACTTTTTTATTACTCCCTGTTCAGACACAATTGGACTTATGAACTGATATCTGTGCGTTCGATCGTCCTTGCATACAACAAGCATGTTCACCTCAAGCTTCATGCATACATCATTAATCTTGTTATACATATGTGCGTCTATTAGTTTCATGATCTGATTGAACATGGCACA